CACCTGTGCATCAGCTATGGACTAGGACTGCGTAGTGACAGTGTAATAAATTAAAGTACAAAGATTACAAGATACCACAAGGAGGACCCTTTGCCCCAGAGATCAGTACATGAAAGTGCTTTCACATGCAGCGGTCCTTGTTAAAAGCTGTTACACGCAGTATGGTGAAATGTAGAAATTATGTATTATAATACTTTTTTGAGCACGAAAAAAATAATGTAAAAAAGAGAAAACTCTGCAGTTAAAGAAGTGCCATTTTCTTTTCTGCAGTAAAATGTTTTTGTAAAAATAACGTGTTAACGTTAAGATATATGTGTTTGAAAAGATGTCTCAGTATAACAAGTTTAATCATACAAAAATACCAGTAGGATACTATACCAGTACAGGTTGCGGTTTTGAGCTGATAGGATCTGTTCCATTGATTTCTTTTTTAGTTTTTAGCTGGTTTCAGTGCTCAGGCAATTAATCCTTAAAGTCTATTGATTTAAAGGAACCTGTACTTAACAACAGCAGGAGGGAGTTCGATGAAGCTACTTGAAAGTTGAATTGAGCTGTATTGATTTTTGTTTATTACGTCTACAAAGTGTTTACTATACAATGTGAATAAGTAGCCCATGACGTTTGTGAATTTGTACATCTTTAAAGTATAAAATAAATAAAATTATGCTCTTTTATATAATACACTTTTTTTTTACATACACTGTATATGAACAATTTTTGAAAGGCATTAAATAATTCTAAAGTCAATTAGGACTAAAGTTATATTATTTTTTATTTACTATAACAACTATGGTTCATAAACAATTTGGCTTCTTAAGTTCCATATAATATTTATTTATTTATTTTAGTATAAAACATTCATTTTTAATGAACAGCTATGAAAGATTGTAATTACAAAATCAGTAAATTGCAAAATCAGTACCTTCAATACTAAAATATACTATAAAAAATTATCTAAAAATATTATATATATTCCATTATTTAGGCCTATATACAAAAATCTATTTATCAAAATCAATAATATAACATTTTGAATTTGCAGACTTCAAAATTAAATTCAGTATTAGAAGTCATGAACCTCAGTAAGTAAAACACATTTACAGGCCATTGTTAATTACATTAAATAATCAATTATATCTGGTAACAAATGATTGATTGCGTTATTGAAATTATTCAAAACATGTTTGACTGGCTCTGTCAAAACTCCACATTCGTTGGCATTTGAAATGCTACAGTGGAGTAGTAGTAGTCAAACATCTGAAAATTGACATTCTGACCAAATTCAGGTTATTGCAGATTTTAGTGAAGACAAATTCTGACAAATAACAATCACTAAATCTAAATAGAAAAGTATATTGAAATTGTTTTTTCAAATATACACCAAGTAATATTTTTGTATGTGTTTCTAATTAGTTTATTTGTGTTTCTAATAGTGAAGTGAAGTGTGATTATGCCATTGCTTGTCAAAATATTTTAGTTTTTGTTTTTAGAAACAGTGTTTGTATTTACGTAAATAAAAGATGAATGAAATATTAAACTATTGATACAGTATTGAATCTGGTTTTGTCAAACTACATAAAAGAGAAATTTAATTTGAATTTCCTTTAAAAAGAAAACCAAAATTACTTAGTTTTATTTTAAAGGAAATTTAAATCAAACATCTAAATGGTAACCGATTAGATTAGAAATAATAAAAACTAAACGTTTAATTTGTACCAACAAATGTAGGGTTTTTTGCTGGAACTGGTCACTGTAACTGACAGTTTTACTGAATTGTTTATGGTTTAAACTTTTTATTTTAAGTTTCTCTTACAGGAACAGTAATGTTTAATGCTTGAATCTAAAAAGCTTTATTATATTGTAGACTGATGTTCTTTCACATAGGCAATCTATTCATGATTTTGCATTCTTAGTATCGATCCAGCCAATAATTATTTACAACTGCTTAAAAGAACCATCATTGATTGTTATTGAGACCTATGATGTGTGTAAATACAGTTTTGAGAAGGTAAACAATATGAAGGAAGACAGCTCTGATGGTGTTAGCCCCAGGTCAATCAATGCATAAGCTAGTCAGTTGGCGGTACCTTTTATGGGATTATTTCAAAGGTTTATTGATTCAAACATCATACCGAAGAGTTTGAAATCTTCATCCATAGCAAAGAAAATTTGACCCGCTCTTCTCAACTCAATGACACTTTTCTATTCTACTCTAATTAAGTTTTCACATCCGTCCTGTGGCACTCACTTTGATAGTTATACAGTAATTCTGAATAGGCATCATGATGAATAAAAGGTGTAGCCGCGTTACTCTACAGTACTGCAGAATAATATAAGATATGACAATTACAGAACTTTAAGAACAACTGTAACATTTTTAATTTATTTGCTCTAGCTTTTGCCCACACAGTGGACTTCATCCTGATGACATCCACTGTGTGGAAAAAAGCTAGAGCAAGTAAATTTTAAATTTTGCACTTGAAAGTGCTGCTGTCATTTCTTAAAACTATATACTGTAGTTTTGAACAGTTACGACAGAATAATTTGTAAATAATATTATCAAGTCTGTAGATTGCGTAATATTACTTTACTTTAAGGCCAAGTAAAATTGTATTGTTTCACATTCAGGATTTAAAATTAAGTTTTTGGTGAGGGTTTTTACAGTCAACGGCGGCGGAGCATTTTTTAAAGTGGGTGGGGGGGTAGGGGAAATTTCATAAGGTCCAGGCTGGGGGGGCCAGGGGCCGCCAAGGGCCTCTGGTGAGGGTCTAGAGGGCGAAGCTCCCTGGAAGTGACGGATACAAAGTTTGGTGAATTTTGTAAGATATTTTATTGGCATCAAGCTAATGTAATGACTTCATATTTGTTTATATGCGTATACAATCGTTTTTATTCGTTTCACTTTATTGTGAGTTTACAAAAAACACACTTTTAGTGGGGTAAATATTTCAAGTCGGCGATTTAGCCTGACCCTAGGCTGACTAAAAAAATCGGCCTGCGGAGGTATCATCATCAGGTTCACATCATTTAGTCGTAGTGCTAGTCGAAGTTCGTTTTAAGAATACAAAATTTTAAAGTTTTAGCTCAAACTACGACTAAAGTTCGTTTTAAGAATTCCGGGATCAAACTGTGGGAGGGTTTTGCACAAAAATAGAATGTAAGAAAAAATGATGATATGGCACCTCCAGATGGCCGGAAATGGCACTCTTAAAGCAAAAGTTAAATACAATTTTGTCTGTTTTCTCCATTTAAAGAAATAATAATTTTGCAAATATTAGGAGGTTGGGGGCCCGTGCTGACTGGGGTGGGGGGGGCGGGCCTGTGCTGACTGTTTCCCACTTAAATCTGAAACTGTTCAATATAACACTTGACATAGCCTATCATTTTGTATCATAAATGATTAATTCTTAATGTCATGCAAAAGATATTTTTATTCGAAAGGTTTTTTTTTACTCAATACAGTTTTTACAACCTATAACACATTAATTCAGTGTACTGTAAATTCTGTAGTTAACCTTCAGAGAATTGTATTTTGCCTAATTTAATTTTATGAATCTGAGCTCAAAGTTCTTCAGAAATCCTGCAAATTTTATTCAGGTTAAAGAGAATTTATTCTATTCATCAACTATATAGTAACACATGTAGCCCTTTTTTTTTATGTGGATAAACATCTACTGTATTGCACAATGTGGCAATGTACAGTATAATCCACCTTTGTGATTTTCTTCTGAGAAGGAAGTGCCATGTATTATCTATTGTGAAGTTGTTTGTAGCAGCCTGCAGTCATGTTAATAGGCCACTCGTAAAATATCACAAGTGTTTCAGTAGACATATACCCCCACAGGTTGAAAGAAAAATAAATGAAATTAAACAACTCGGTTTATAGAACGATTTGGTTATAAATATTGCACGAAAGGTCCCAATTGGATTGATAACCCTAAACACAAAAGATAATCGTGTACTAGTTCAAAACATCTTAAAACTTTTTGATACATTTAATTGATTGAGAAAAACTTATTTGTCCCCCTCAGGATTTGAACCTAAAATGCTCAGCAACTGAATCAGTGGCAGATTAAAAAGGGGAGGGACTCTCTCTCCCCCCTAAATAAAAAAAAATGCTAATCCAAAAATGGAGAAAAATAATTGTATTCAAAATTAAGGCTAGAGTTCCATTTCCGACCATCTAGACCAGACCATAATCATATATTTTCTTTACTTAGCTCCAACTGTGGTGGTGTAGATCCTCCATATGTGAAAGACCCCCCCCCAATCCCAGTTTCCAATTTTTTGATGTGCCACTGGTTAGTGAGACCAGCCTAGTGTATCTCTTGGATTTTCCCATTAGGGCATGCTTTTTTGAGTTTTTTTCAAAATAATAATACTGTATGCTATGGCGAACAATAGCCACAATAGGTATGACAAATATTAGTCATGTGCAACAGAGCACGTATACATCCTAATGGACCATTCAGTGGTTCACAGCAATCTATGCACCAGGCAAAAACATATCCTGAATCATTTTTACAGCCCAGTCTTTGATGTAAGTTGTGGTACCTTCCATGGCCGGCTGAGAATGGTCAGTGTGTGGTTTGAACTCGCGACCACAAAGTTAATAATCAGAATAGAAACTAGCTGCCCTAAACAAAGTTTGAAAAATAAGAAAATAATACTAATAACAGTACAATACATTTAATCTTTATGTCAAAAAGAAAAAAACTGAGTCTATGACTGTAGCCTACTGCTGAATAATATTTTGATAATCTGTTATACAGAAAGTATCAATATGGTATTACATGTGTGTAAAACTTTTGATTTTGATTAAAAGATGAATAATTTACCTGAACTATTTTGTTTTTGTTTTTATAGGTCACAGGGTTCAGTTTGTTAAACTTGGCTAGACCTATACAGCCATCATAGCCCAATTTACCTATACAGCCATCATAGCCCAATTTACAATAGATTTTTAATGATTATTTTTTGGTTAATATTTTTTTCTCCAGATTTTGGACTTACCACAATGAGAGATTTCTATATATGGTACTAGAATATATATGCGGTGGAGAACTTTTTACATATTTACGCAATAAAGGACGTTTTAATGTTGTTACCGGACATTTCTATTCAGCAGAGATTGTTTCTGCTATAGACTATTTACATAAAAATGATGTTGTATATAGAGACTTAAAACCAGAGAATATTCTTATTGATCGAGATGGACATGTTAAGTTAACTGATTTTGGATTTGCAAAGAAGTTACGAGATATGTAAGTATTATTAAAAAATGTGCCATCTTATAAATTATATTCAGTATTTGAATTGCTTAATACTTTGTATTTTAAATAAAAATTAGGAGAAATATTTCCTTCATTAAGTTTAAAATGATGCAGAAATGCCATTTATATACCATTTGCATATATATATTTTCTTAGATGTAATTATTTTTATAGTGAATGGTCTTCAATCAGCAAATACCTCAGTTGTTTCGATCTGTATCAATTCTCATTGAAAGCTAAAGGTTTACTTATTAGTTATCATTTTGACGGTTATCAAAATGTCACCGAAAGATATCTTTTTAAAAATAAAATTATTCATTCATTCATTATATTCAGCTACTAAAAATACATGGTGAGAAATACAGAAATAAATCACAGGGGTTCCAAGTTGGAACAAACTACTTCCAGGAGTTGTAGTTAAATGAGGTTTCTTATAAACACAATCTAATATTATTTTTCCTCGGTGTGTGATACCCATTGATTATATAGTAAAAAAAAAAATAAACAAATTAATTTGTGGGAGATAGGTCTTGTCTCAGGTTTCTAGGAGGCTTTTGGTAGCTCGAGGGAGTGTTAGAGGCCGTATCAATTTTCCTGCGACTCATGGCAAACTTGGGACCTTTGGAATCAATTATTCAGAATCTTGCTAGGCTACAACTAATTCATAGCTAAGCTACTACTAAGATGATGGAGTCTCAATTACTTGTTCAAATATTGGCCTAATTAAATTTTAAAGCAAAAGTTGTTTGGTTTTTATTTTCTTTTCAGAACATGGACACTATGCGGAACACCTGAATACTTAGCACCTGAAATTATCCAAAGTAAAGGACATGGCAAAGCAGTTGATTGGTGGGCCTTTGGCATCCTATTGTTTGAGATGCTAGTAGGGTATGTAAACATACAATCAATCAATCAATCAATCAACATGAATCATCAATATTTTACATTCAACAATTCAATTATTGTCCATCGTTGAAGACAGTATACAAAAACATCAGATAATATGAAGAAGTAAAAACAAAACTGCAAGTAACATTTGGTGTAGCTATGAAATTGATTGAACATGATTGTTGTCATTATTTATTGAGAGATACACAACATTGTTTGTTTAACTGTGATGTTTGATGCTGCTTTGATGTTGGGTAGGAGAGAATTCCATAGGGTGGGTATTGTACAAGTTGTTTTTAACATTTTAAAGTCTGTGGATGAGTAGAGAAAAGTGCTTCCATGGGCTGACTTGTAAATTTGTTAAAAAGGTATGTAATTTTGTATTATGATCCAAATATCAAGATGTAAATGTTGTTACTTAAAATTTAAATTGCTTGATGTAAGAACAAAAAAAAACTTCATACCTGATATTCAGATTCAATGAGTCTTATATTCAATTTGAAAATTTTGTTGATTGTAAAAAGTAAGATTGACACTGGCAATTCCCATCAAAAAATTTCGAAAGAATTAAATTAATTTTAAAATGGATACCCCTTTGTTTTACTATATGAAGTTGTAATGTAGTTAAATTTATATAGCGCTTAATACCGAAAGGGTCTCAAAGCAATCAAGGTGTGGACTAGCTCTTACAGTAACATTCTCCCTTTAACCTTCTCCACTATGGAAGGGTCTTCATGTCTGAGCTACCTGGTAAACTGGTACCAGCTACTCTCGCCTGTGCACAAAAGGAGCTGTATGGACCATTACACCGGGGTAACTACTGGATGCACATGAGCTAATTGTGTACACTAGGCTATCCGAGAAGACGTGTTCCAATACCAAAACCATACTCTAGCGTGCCATTCGAACCAGCGCCGATATTAAAGCTGCGTTGCGCCGCCCATGCCTTAACCACTCAGCCATCCAACTACTGATAATAAATAAGTTTGTCAGGATAATACTTTGTTTTTACTTTCTTCTGACATAGGTACCCTCCATTTTTTGATGATAATCCGTTTGGAATTTACGAGAAGATTTTAGAGGGAAAAATTGACTGGCCAAAGCATTTAGATCCTGCTGGAAAGTAAGTATCCTTAATTGTAGTGAGCAGTGGTGGATTATCTTCTTTAAAAAAAGGGGGGGATAAAAAGAAAATTATGTTTAAATTTAAGTCTGAGCATGCCATTTCCAGCCATCTAAGGGTGCCATATAACTATAGGCCCCTCTATTTCAAATTCCTGGATCCGCCACTGGTGGGTGTGACAGTTAAATTAGAAACCAATCGGAAACCAGGTTTTGGTAGCAGTAGGCTGTAGCCTAATCAATTTCCATTCATAGAAATAGATGTCACTAACCAAACACAATACCAGGTACAGTAGAATAGGACGACATAAATGTAACTTACTATTACAATTTGACATACAGGAACACTTCAGTATTAAATTGTCTAAATTTGACGACTTGCGAACCATAATACAGCTTGTTGCAAGTCGTGATGATTGGAAAAAAGAGGAAATTGTTAAAAGTACAGTAAAACAGTAACTTTTTATTAAACACTGAAGGAAGTTGCTGAGGTTTTCTCTCTTTATTGGCATTCGTTGTGGTAGTAAATACATCAGAAAAAGGATTTATATTCTTTGTTTCTTTTCTTTGTTTCTTTTTTTTCTTTCTTTAACAGTATATAAAAATAACCAAAAAGAAGTCTGTAGTTTTGACAGTATATATAATTATTAATTTATATGAAACGCAAATCACCACTACTGGCTCATTAAGCTTAATATGAACTGATGACAATTTTCATCACTACTCTACTGTCAATTCTATAGTTCTGGTTCTGGTGTATGTTGCTGCCAAACAAGTCCAGGTATGGGTTCCCATAGGCATGTTTGGTAGTGTAATGTTTATTACATGCAAAATAAATAATATTGTGTGATAATAGTCTGATTATGCACTGCTAATTTATAAATATAAAACTGATTATAACATAACACCACCAGTGTTATACTCGTTTGGTCTTTTTTTCTCTTTAAAGAAGCTTTCTTCTTTTCAAGTTAGTTTATTGGTGATCCGCTAACGTTAGCGGATCACCTCTTGTTATTGTCAGAGATCTTACAACTTTTTTTTATTCTACCTTTCCTTCCATTTTTGTTCGCACGATATCTCAAAATTGCCACGAGTTACGCACACGGTCCTACATCGATCATTTTGTCTTCACCTGGAATAGTCATGGTAAGGTTTTTAACGCGCTCAGACATGCATGACGTCATCTACGTGCAATTTTGCGTTTTTACATTATCGATCATATCAGCCTAACCAATTGCCATTTCAAAATCGTATTAAGTGAGCATTAACTTTGGGTTAATGTTGAATGTACTGTGGTTAACGTTGAATGTACTGTACCCTAATTTTACGCGTGCGCTTCATAATGCGCGCGCACGCGTGAGTCAAAAGTTCAAAATGCTCAAAATCACTTTTTAACCAAATTAGAGCACGTTTCAGGCCATTTTGAGAATTTCAAAATTTTTCATAATTTTCCACTACGCGCGCGCACTTTTACTTGCGGTATGGAAGTTAGAAATTAGGTTTTTTTTACATATTTTGGGTTCCTGACATTGTTTTCACAAATTTGCATTCTTTTCGGTCATCTTTTGGCCAATAGCAATGCCGTACGTGCGCATCAAACATAGGTATCTTTGCGCGTATTTGTGCAGCTATACAGTGAAATTACGATAAAATCAGACCTATTTTTAATCAGTTATAGCTCCTTAGTTTGAAAGGTGACCCCCAATTTTTATTACATATTCTGAAAGCACATAAGTTGTAAATATGATTTTATAGATCATAATGACTGATCGGACATTGTGACGTCATCATATTGGCATCTGAATTCAAAGAAAATGAATTATAGCTATGACGTCATTTTTGAAAATACGCAT